ATTAATAAAGAAAGCGTGCAAGAAAAAAGAAAGGAATAACGATTCCGCGTAATAGTTTGTTTCAAAAAATTTCTCAAAATTTTGATGTAGCAACTTGGAAGCCAGAATCATGTTCAGCGTAAAAAACAATTATGGGAAATAATTATAATTACTATTCTCTCTCTTTCTTTGTGTTTGAAATTATTTTGTTGAAGTGTGTTGAATTGGAGCTTGACTGTCTTAACCTGATTATTATTATGGAGCAATTAACTTCGATAGATGTTGATTATTGTCGCCATCCATTTAATTGCAGCTTTCGATCTATTAAATATTCGTCGATAGTTTTAACGCATGCTCGTGTGCCACTTTAAAAAGTTTGTACCTGACAAAACAATCGATCGAATGATACTCACAATCAGTTAACAGAATTGTGGATTCTTGAATTTTTAATATCACTATTCGATTCATTTCGATTCATTTATTCTTACAAGTGAAATTTCAAGAATATAAGCAAACATAATTTTAATTTTAACGACGCACGCCCGTGTAACGCAAGCAAAGAGAAAAGAGAAAGAGATCTAAGATTTTATATGCATTTTATATGCAATATTTTCTATCGCACATTAGTAATATCAACTCAGCGATACAGTCATTCTGTTAGGCGCGGTGAAACTCGCACGGCGCACTCTCTGCGCTAGAAAATGACGGGTCAAGAGTTCGCAACGCGAGGAGAACATTCGCATAGTCAAAGATTCGCGATAGCCAAATATGACACGGATCTTTTTAACAACCGGGACAATCCATCGCGATATTTGTCTTCCGCCTCGCAACTTTTCTTCCCCTGAAGCGCACGCACTCACGCATATTTATGCGACTCTCGATTTTTGCGAGAGTTTTGCGGTTGATTAATTAGCGACTTTGCGATTATTATGCAAAGAATTACTTAACGCGCGTCGTGTCTATAAATCCGAGCGACGCGGTGACACATGTCAAGCGCGGCGATTATGTTTGGCCCGGCGAGTTTCGAAAGTGAAACCGACCACGTCAAAGCTGCAACGCGAATCAGTCCCAACCGCGTCCGGACTATTATTATTAAGTGGTAAGACACCTGCGAGTGTCTTCCTCCCGTTTGTGAACGGTGGAAGATTAATGGGATGCTGGACCAAACGGGAGAACGCCCGTACGCGTTTAGAAAGTTCCCAAAGTTTTTTGTATTATTTTTTCTCCCGAACATTATTATTATGTTTTTGAAATTTTTATATACTAGTAAATCATTTTATATTTTTAAGATTCGCCCATCACTGTCTGGTTATTTGCCTTGTTTTTGTAATTTTTCTTTGATACTTATCTTTCAAACCACTTTAATTTAATTAATGTTTCATTCCCAGAGTTATCTAAGGCCTAAGTTACTTGCGATATACATGTGTGCCTTTATTTTTTTTAATTTATAATTGCGAAAGAAGAACTCGAATACAAATTCGGAGTCTTCGCCCACTTCAATCGTCCTCGAGTGAATAAAAAACATGGCTCTTACGTTTCTTCGAAAAAATATTCAAAGTCTCGTTCCTGAGAAATTTACGACGAGCCAATTAATTGTTAGATGAGATCGAGATCAAGAGGAAGGGGGCGAGAGACGAAGTTTTATAAGGCAGAAGCGCGCGTTAAACGCGGTAATTCTCCCGTTTTATTGTGTGCAAATTACGGGGATAGTTTACAGACGTGCATCTCCAACGCTTTCCTTTTGCGGCAAAAGCGTTGGCACTTAAGCGCGAGCTCTTGTGCGAAGAATACATAATTCGATGATGTACCACGCTTGCTCGCATCGTTGACCCTCGGCGTGTCGTTTCGTTGTCTTTTCTCTGGGTGTAACTTTCTTTGCAAATGTCAAAGGTTCGCGTGTAACGCAGCGTAGACTGGCACTTTTCTTTTTCTTTTTTTTTTCTCGTCTACACGTTTATGAACGCTTAGAATTCTCGCCAGAAATTCTCGTCGATTTTTCTCTCTTCGCGGGACTTATGGTTGACAGTAACGTCAATAACTCTTCTCTCGCGATGCGTATGCATCATAGTTGGACTCCCATGGAGATTTGACGAAGCGGGGTGAAAGTTCAAAGTCTGTAATCGCTTCTGGTGGGTAGCTCGTGAATATATTTCCGTTTTTGCGGCAAAAGCTTGGCGACTTAAGCGCGAGCTCTTGTGCGAAGAATACATAATTCGATGATGTACCACGCTTGCTCGCATCGTTGACCCTCGGCGTGTCGTTTCGTTGTCTTTTCTCTGGGTGTAACTTTCTTTGCAAATGTCAAAGGTTCGCGTGTAACGCAGCGTAGACTGGCACTTTTCTTTTTCTTTTTTTTTTCGTCTACACGTTTATGAACGCTTAGAATTCTCGCCAGAAATTCTCGTCGATTTTTCTCTCTTCGCGGGACTTATGGTTGACAGTAACGTCAATAACTCTTCTCTCGCGATGCGTATGCATCATAGTTGGAATAGATTTCGAGCGGTGAAATCAAATCTGTAACGTCTGGTAGCTGATTCGGTATGTCGTGTATGACGCTCCTGATTTGTGTTTGAATAATTTCCGGATCACAAGTCTAGGACGACTTGTTTTTAATGACGAATCATTAAGCGCTGTCCGCGACGTCCTTCACGCCATTCGTCACGTATCATTATGAAAATGAAAGGAGTAAGACGTGGCTATTAATAGAAGGCAGCACTTTTCCAAATTGTCTATAATTACCTGAGATGATGCGAAGACGAATAGTTTTAGATGTCAAAGTCAAAGATGCGATTATTGTCGATGGTTCAATAGTAAAAATTATTCGCCATTGATTAAGAAATCGCACGGATATAATATCTATTTTAATTTCTATAATTTTTTACAAAGCAAAAGAAGATTTATCGGTTAACTTTTAATGAATCGTTCTTACATTTATTAGTTTGATACAATATTTAATATCACGAAATAATCGAAAGAACAAAGTAAACTGTTGCTCACCATTTTTTTTAAATTCAACAAAAGTTAAAATCAAACATGTAACGCGCGAATGTTAAAGAAATGAAGTATCTACAAAAATCTTCAATCTACAAAAATGTTAAAGGGATTAAGTATCTACAAAAGTCTTCGATTATTCCCAGCGATATAACAAAACTTCGATACATCAAGAGTTTCTCTCCGCTTAAATACCAAAGTTTGTTCCCAAGAAGCGCGTACTGTGTAAGTAATTAAAGATACGCTTCTAATTGCGTTCAGTTTCAAGAGGAACATAATGGATCTCTGTCGAGTTCTTTCATTTATCTCTTCTTTTCTGGATCGATGCCCATCTCCTTGTAATTCGTCAAACGATTAATCCTTGGCAATATTTTATCGCGCGGGGCAAGATATTCTAAAAACGCATTTGTATTTCATAATAATATAACAGGGGAAAATACTATACAGTCCGCACGCGCTAATAAATAAATAAATAGCTTAAAGTTTCATCGAGAGCTCATTACACTTGCTACACGCGGTCCTCAACTTTCCGAACGTGTCTGCACGTTTAATTATGCGCGAGCGTGTCTCTTCGACGATGTCAAGCGTGTACGTGTAATTACATAAAACATGCAAACTATTGGTCTCGCTCGCACGACTCGAAAGCTGTAGGCAGATATTTACTGTGTTTTTAGGAGGAGAAAATCGCCTGGGGCTACTCTTCCACTCATAACGGGACTAACAGGAGATAGACCGAATGGACAAACTTTAGCTTTCGATCTCTCTCGAATCAATACAGTGAAACCCAATCATATATAGATGTTTATTCTTATCGTAAATAATTTTATATCCTCGATGATTAGTCTTTTTCTAGATAGCCCCTTTGGGAATTTGAATATTTGAGTACGAATTTTAGCTTTCGATGTCTCTCCAATCAATATAGTGAAACCCAATCATATGTAGATGTCTATTCTTATCGTAAATAATTTCATATCCTTGATGATTAGTCTTTTCCTAGATAACTTTGCCCCTTTGGGAATTTGAATATTTGAGTACGAATTTTAGCTTTCGATGTCTCTCCAATCAATATAGTGAAACCCAATCATATATAGATGTCTATTCTTATCGTAAATAATTTCATATCCTTGATGATTAATCTTTTCCTAGATAACTTTGCCCCTTTGGGAATTTGAATATTCGAGTACGAATTTTAGCTTTCGATCTCTCTTCAATCAATATAACGAAACCCAATCATATATAAATGTTTATTCTTATCGTAAATAATTTTATATCCTTGATGATTAATCTTTTTCTAGATAACTTTGCCCCTTTGGGAATTTGAATATTTGAGTACGAATTTTAGCTTTCGATCTCTCTCCAATCAATATAGTGAAACCCAATCATATATAGATGTTTATTCTTATCGTAAATAATTTTAATATCCTTGATGATTAGTCTTTTCCTAGATAACTTTGCCCCTTTGGGAATTTGAATATTTGAGTACGAATTTTAGCTTTCGATGTCTCTCCCAATATAGTGAAACCTAATCATATATAGATGTTCATTCTTATCGTAAATAATTTTATATCCTTGATGATTAGTCTTTTCCTAGATAACTTTGCCCCTTTGGGAATTTGAATATTCGAGTACGAATTTTAGCTTTCGATGTCTCTCCAATCAATATAGTGAAACCCAATCATATATAGATGTCTATTCTTATCGTAAATAATTTTATATCCTTGATGATTAATCTTTTCCTAGATAACTTTGCCCCTTTGGGAATTCGAGTACGAATTTTAGCTTTCGATCAATCTCGAATCAATACAATAAACTCAATCATATATAAATATCTATTCTTATCGTAGATAACTTTATACTTTTGATGATTCACCTTTCCTTGAATAATTTTGTTCCCTTGATAATTTGGATTTTCGCGAATAAATTTTGCTATGATGGCTTTATTTTATTTCGTGGCGAATAATATTGCTTTCTAATAATATCAAACGTAATCTATGCAACATCGTATTAATATATTTGTTATAACTTTGCAGATAGTCGTAACGATTCTACTGGCAGTAGTCTGCTTGGTTAGGTCTCAGAAATCTGAGATCTCAGCCAAAGACCTCGAATTTGCGCCCGCCCCAGTAAAGCTCGACAAGAACCTGCGACAAGCATTGCTAAAGGCTCTAACGGAACTGGAGGCCGAGTCGGCGGAGCAGCGAAAAGACGATGATGAGAAATCGTTCTTCACGACTGTCAAAAAGACTTTTGACGATGTTCTCAAAAATACGAATCTGAATACGAATAGCGTGATACCGAAAGCCTCCTTGTCGTTCGACGGTTTCCCGGGAGATGAAGACATTCTCAACGAGGAGAAGCTGCAAAATTCAAGCTTCCTCGAAGCGAAGAAGTACGTTACTCCGAGTTCATCGCCGATGATCATAGAAAAAGCTAGTTACGACGACGCTAGAAGCTTCCACGTGCACAATGTAATTGTACCGGACAAGAATCCATCGACTTATTTGTCGCGAAGCGAGTCCAAGGTAGATTCGTTGGAAACGAAAAATCTAAAGGGTTCCGTAAGTTCATCTTCGGTCAACAGAGTCGAGAGTGTGACGTTGAAGCCGATCACGCTGTCTGAGAGCTTAACGCAAAGTGCGACCAATGGACTCGTGAGTACCAATGCGTTAATTGCGCCGAAACCAACTGCATCTAGTCCGACTGTTTCGCCCAAAGACAACGTCACTTTGCCTTCTTCCAACGTAAATGAGGAAAAATCTCCAGCGGAGGAAGTGAAAATCTTTCAGGCGCCTCTTGTGGCAGCCTTCACGGTACAACAGGACGAGCTCGGTGTTCCGAAGAGCGTCGTGCCGATTTACAGGCAAACGGGTGACGGACAAGCTCTGACTCTTCAAGAGCAATTGGAGTTTAAGCAAAAGCTACTGGAGCAACAACTAGCGGAACTGCAACAGCAGCAAATTCAGCAGACCCAGTTTCTCGTTAGACAACGTCAGCTTTACGAGCAGCAGTTGAGACAGAAGCACCAGCAACTGTATTTGCAGGAACAGGCTAGAATCAAGCAGTTTGAGGAGCAGGCCAAGATCAAGCAACTGGAGGAGCAGCGCTTGAAGCAACTTGAAGAACAGAGAATTTATCGTTTGAATCAGCACAATCACTTTCCTTTGCAGAAGCAGCACATTTTCCAACAGACGAACGTGTTGCCGCTTCAGGCATCTGTGGACCCTGCTGTTCATCTTCAGCCGAGTGTAACTCTGGAAGTTCCCAACGCCGTCGCGCCGCCGCTATTCCGTACCAACTATCAGGAGCAGTTGCAATTCCAACAGTTTCAGCAGCAACCTCAACAACATCACCAGCAACCTCAGCAACATCAACAGCAACCTCAGCAACATCAACAGCAACCTCAGCAACATCAACAGCAATCTCAGCAACATCACCAGCAACCTCAGCAACATCATCAGCAGCGATTGCATCAGAACTTCGTGTCGTTTCCTACCGATTTTCAACCACCTGTAGCTCCAGCTACCAGATTCAACAGACAGGAGGCCTTCAACGCAGTTGGTAATTTCGGCTTCAATCTAGACAACAAGCAACCGCCTCCGTCGAGGAACACGTTCAACTTTATCGCGCCAACAAGGAATCCCAATACATTCATTTACAATCCTTACACGCAATTTAGGCAGACTCTCCCGACGAGAGTACAACAGACACCTGCCAAGCAGATTCAGCGTTTGCTTTATCAGTCGGGCATCGCCGGCGAATTGGGCAACGTGCAGGGCCCGGGTGCCGAGGATCTCAACATCGTGTCCAAGGTGTTGGCGTTAAACGTTGGAGCGTTGCCCAATAAGAATTATCAACTTGCGAGTAATCGCAGCAAGCTGGGAAGCGCGTGAGAATAGAGGCAGACGAGCATAATCGATATAAGACTTCGACGAGTCGTGTAAATTACTACAGGACGATATTAGCAAGGTGAAATCGAGCTCTCTCTCTCTCTCTCTCTCTTTCTCTCTCTCTCTCTCTCTCTCTCTCTCTCTCAATCCTTCCATTTACCTTGCTCTTTCCTCTTGTTTAATCTCTTCTTTCCGTTCCTATCATATCTTTTACATCTCTAATTTTTCAAAGATTCTCTCTGATTCTGACACATGCACGCGCACACATACATTAATATGCAAATCAGCTATATATATGCACGTAGAACAGAACGACAATGAGAAATGCTTATTCATGGCTCGCGAGAGAACGCGATGACTCGGTACGTTCAATAGTATACAAACCATGACGATAGTAACCTTGAATACTGGCATCTCTGGGTGAAATCGAATCGATTGCCCGGTTACCTCCCGCGAGATTTTACTCTCCTACGATTTTACGACGGCCGGTACGCGTGAGAAGTGTATTCTAGGAGAGAATAATCGGTGTATAATGAAGAAGCCATCATTTCCTTAATGAACGTAATGATATTAATTACAATTGTACGTACGTCAAACAAGGACTTGTCAGTAGTAGCGCGGCCTTCTCGAGCTTGAATTACGCAAGTTCGCATTTAGTTGCAACACAGACACTCTGTATATAATTGTGCGACTCCAGTTTCACTTCCTTATATCTATTCCTTTTGTGGCGGCACTTTCCTCTATTTCATTCTTGATAGAATAGCGTACACGCGATCGGGCACCGCCAATTTCTTCGACAATCGTACAAGACACGCTCAATAGAAAAGAAGCACGTAATCATAAAACGTAATATAGCTGTAGAAACATAAGTAGATTTCAACAGGGAAAACTAATTCTTATGTTTTTTTTATCTAAGCAAGGCAAAGTCCTGCCGGACTCACGTCAATTGTATTATCGTCTTGGGTTTGATTATGATTTCGTTCGAGAATATATCGTAAAACTTGGAAAATTCGTAAATTTGTACAAGCCTTTTAAATTAAAAAGAATTTCTTACGTATTTTTTATGCCAAATTCATAATAAAAGATACATTTAAGGATGTTTTGTACCTATGTTCAAAATATTGAGAATTTAATGAAAATTGTACAGAATGTCCTTACATATGTTTAGAATCTTCGGTATAATTTTTAAATCGATTCACTAAAGCGTTCACAAGTTATAAGGATTTTAATTTGCACCGAATTAACATGTGTTCTTATGGGAAACATATAACCACGTCGATTCAAATGACAAAAACATATGGAAATAATATTCAGAATTTGTTTAAAATTTGCAAAAGTTTAGATACAGAGGAAATATTTGGTCAAATAATATTATACAAGTACTAACTGGTTAAAAAGATATTAAATATAATTCAATGAAGTTAGCCATGTATCTGCCACAAGGCAAAATTCTCTGCTAAAAATTAATCATTTCGATTAACAAAATTCGGAATATTTCAATAAAAACGCAATAAATATTAAAAAATACATCTCTGCACTGTAGCTAAAATCGAATTGTAATATTCCACACAATTTCTCATACTCAAAATACACCAAAAGTGGATATTCATCAATATTGATTTTCAGCTACTTTTGCTGGGATTGTACATACAAAACATCCTTAAAGAGATTATTTCTCAAGCTAAAATATATACATTTCTCTATCTATTTGATCACTTTTTTAGTTGCATCTCTATCGAAAAATATCAGACCCAAGTTTTGCATTAAAGACAACCAAAACTCTACCGCTGATTAGCATGTTTTACGACTTGTATCGTATATTGTGTGTGTATATTGTTCGTATTAGTCTTAACACAGAGAGCTCGCTCGGGGGATCAGAGGTCTCGCCAAGTCGTGCATCGGGATTGAAAACGCTTCTTCTACTGTAAATAAACTTTCCCCGGTCCGATATACCCCTCCATACACAATACCGGCAAAGAAGCTGTCGACGCGAGAGAGACACATCTTGCGCGTGTATATATGTGTATGTCCTCAATTTCACAAACGTTTGGCACAGATCCGTGATTTCACCCGCGAGGCGGGCGAATCGACGAATCTCGTGGGATGTCGGATGTCCCTTCTATTTGATTAAATTATTAATGTTACTCGGCCAGATATGAATAATCGTGCATCTTCTCATCACATTTATTAGAGATGTATTATATTATAATTAATTACAGTGTCAGTATAATATATTCTCGCCTGTTTATATCAAGCTTTGCCTCGAAATCGATGTTGGTTGCGATGCGCTCTTGGCGAGAGCGACTATGTAAGCGAAAGTTGACAGCGATTCGTTCATAAATGCGGATCCTTTACGAGCGCCAGCTGAGAGACTTGCGCGACTGAATATATATATAACATTAAAATATAAAATAACATTAAAATAAAAAGTATTAGATATATAATTAATATATATAAATATATGTATTTGCGCTTATAATTTATCTGATGCTGGATTGTATGAACCTTGTATAAATGTTAATAAACTAATTTGTTTACAAACAATCGTATTATGTCAAATAAATCGCGGGCTAAAAATATGTAGGGATTTTACTTTAAAATCATCTAAAAAAATGTAAGACGTCTTTTTTTAAAACGTCTCCTTGAAATGTATCTATTAAATATCTCAACCATAAATTTGCGAGAGTACTTCATAAGATATATCAAATTTATTATTATTATAATATTTATTATTTTTATAACATAAAATATTTTTTTTAACATAATCATATTATAAAATAATAATATTATTTATATAAAATGCAAAATTTACTATCTCATAATATCTTCAATATAAAATCTTATATATAAAATATATAAATGGAGAATTATTTGTTTGATAAATGCAGGTAGGATGCATCGGAATACAATATTCCACTGCAATCTTTTTCGATTCCTTTTGGATAAGCTCGGTTTGGCTGCTATATTAATTAATAAACAGTGAGTTTCAAGTATCGAAGTTGTTGATATCTCCGCAAAATCACATCCTAATTGCAAAATAATAGATCTGCCAGGCTTCAAGAAGTTATACGTAAGCGGATCCCGATGGAAGGGACCTAAAAAATTACGACAGAGTTTTTTAGTGGGTGAGAGTCCCACACTACCCCTCATACACTGTGCATAACGCATTTTTCTCATCCTGCAAAAAAAAATTGCAAAATAGGCTCCATCTATCCATCTATATGTATTTTATACTATTTTGTATTATGGCAGAGAAATCGATCGACGAGCAAAAATTATTTTTTAAATGATATATTTCAAGTCATATAATTCGACCGCGATACTTTATCATTCTATTTTTCGATTACTTAAATATAATTCGGATTGTGTGAGATTGCGTAATAAAACAATCAAATCACAGATCTAAGTAATTAACATAATAATGATTTTGTGATATATTAATTAATTAATTTATAATCTACAAAATATATCTATACTTTAATATTTTACGTATTTGTATGTTAAAATATATAAAATATATATTTTGATTTTTTGATATAAAATATATGGCGAGAAAACGGACAATACGGTGTTCAGCCTTGGCGATGTAAACAACAGCGCGCTAATGTTCACATGTCTCGAAGTCTCGACTTTGGTATTAGTCGCACAGCAACACTCGAGCAATAAGATAGTGATGTGAAATACTTCGTATATTGTCGAATTAATAATTAAATGATTATATCATAACTTCTTCAATTAATCTTTTGATCTTATAATTCGTATTAATATACATATATTATATATACCTCAATGGTGAAAATAGCATTTATAACGAGTATTGAATTTCGCTTCATATAAATGTCGAACGAATCGTACACTTCCCTCGTGTTCTCTATCTCTTATAATAATATACGGACAATAACACGGTGTTCAGCCTTGGCGACGTAAACAGTAGCGCGCTAATGTTTACATGTCTCGAAGTCTCGACTTTGGTATTATTCGCACAGTAACACTCGAGCAATAAGGTAGTGATGCGAAATATTTCGTATATTGTCGAATTAATAATTAAATGATTATATCATAACTTCTTCAATTAATCTTTTGATCTTATAATTCGTATTAATATACATATATTATATATACCTCAATGGTGAAAATAGCATTTATAACGAGTATTGAATTTCGCTTCATATAAATGTCGAACGAATCGTATACTTCCCTCGTGTTCTCTATCTCTTATAATAATAAAGTGCGTTTCTCGTGTAATTATTTCGCGATCAGAAGTGTCCTGTAAAGTGTCTCGCGATCGTTCCACATATGACTAATTATTATTAGTCGTATTTTCGGGAGTGAGTATGAGTGCCACGAAGAAATAGCAAATGACGAACAAGGGAGGAAAAGAAGATTGGAAAAAGCATCAGGCAATATACAGAGTAACGAAATTGCGCGGTGAGTGACTATAAATTTTTTATTTATCGTTCGCATTATCCTTTAATTAACAAAATTATTATCGCAAAATTAGCAAAATTATGGTTATCTGATTGATATATCACATTCTCAACGTATATTTAATTTTTATGAATAATATATAACTATAATATGTAATGCGATAGATTTCGCGTGTGAATATTTCGCGTAAATTAATCTCTCTCTCTCTCTCTCTCTCTCTCTCTCTCTCTCTCTCTCTCTCTCTCTCTCTCAAGTAAAAATTATTATAGGAATCTAAATGATTAATACTTAATTTCATAATGTTAAATAATATGTAAAATTACGTCGCGACGATAGATCTCGAAATGCATATTTTGCGATGTATACAATTTAATCGATTAAGTGATAGAATCCAAAATAAAATTTAATCGATTAAGTGATAGAATAATATATCCAAAATAATATATAATTATTTCGATCGTTGCGATCTTTACGGACAATAATTATTATTCTAATACTTAGAGTCAAATATATTTCATCCGTGTTGTGTATGTTATCATTTTACTTACAACCCAAATATAATTTGAATTATGAGAAAACATGCAGTAAAACAATCGAATTATAAATGCAAATAATTAGCATAACGAAAGACTCTATGATGAATTGTTTAATAAATAATCAATTAATTTTAATCAACAAATTAAAATACTTCTATAATTTAATATTCCGCGAGCGTACATTTTATATTACATAAAATATATTACGGCGACGAATTATCAATAACACGGTGTTCGACTTTCGTAAACAGTATCGCGCTATTATTAATATGTTATACGATTTTATTATCATTCTCACGGTGACGCTCGAACAATAAAGTAGTGATAGGAAACGATTTAAATATCTTAAACCTGAGTGATTTGAATATCTATACCCGAGAACAATTAGCATAACGAAAGACTCTATGATGAATTGTTTAATAAATAATCAATTAATTTTAATCAATAAATTAAAATACTTCTATAATTTAATATTCCGCGAGCGTACATTTTATATTACATAAAATATATTACGACAAATTATCAATAAAACGGTGTTCGACTTTCGTAAACAGTATCGCGCTATTGTTAATATCTTATATGATTTTATTATCATTCTCACGGTGACGCTCGAACAATAAAGTAGTGGTAGGAAACGATTTAAATATCTTAAACCTGAGTGATTTGAATATCTATACCCGAGAACAATTAGCATAACGAAAGACTCTATGATGAATTGTTTAATAAATAATCAATTAATTTTAATCAATAAATTAAAATACTTCTATAATTTAATATTCCGCGAGCGTACATTTTATATTACATAAAATATATTACAGCGACGAATTATCAATAACATGATGTTCGACTTTTGTAAACAGTCTCGCGCTATTGTTAATATGTTATACGATTTTATTATCATTCTCACGGTGACGCTCGAACAATAAAGTAGTGGTGCGAAACGATTTAAATATCTTAAACATGAGTGATTTGAATATCTATACCCGTGAACAAATGTCCATAGAAAGTATTCCGATGAACTCTATAGGAAGATAGAAGCATGACATCCTTATGGATTATTAGGACAAAAGAATACACTAAACCAT